CAAAGAAACATGCTGGAAACTTCACGGGAATCCTCAAAATTGGAAACCAAAGGCGGGGGTGATCGTTTTAGTCACGGAAATGTGGCTGCCACGTCGAATTCAACGATTAGAGAGTTAAATGATGTGCCTGAATTAGCTCCATTCACTAAAGCTCAACTAGAGGTTCTTCAGAAACTTTTGAATCAATCCTTTACTCAACTGACATCTACGCAAGATACTGGAATGTTGGCTATGGGAGGTAATAAATCAGTTGATTGTTTTGTCAATAGATGCACTAACAAATCTTGGATTCTAGACTTCGGAGCTTCAGATCACATGACTGGAGATGCATCTATTTTTTCTGAGTTTCACCCGAACAAAGGAAATCATACAGTCAAAATTGCAGATGGCTCACTTTCTCAAGTTGAGGGTTCGAGTTTAGTCAGAATAACATATGACGTAACTCTCAAATATGTGCTTTATGTGCCTAAATTAGACTGTAATTTACTTTCAATCAGTAAATTTACGAGTGAACATCATTGTGTGACAATTTTTTTCTCAAATCTTTGTGTATTTCAGGATTTGGACTCGGGGAAGAGGATTGGCAATGCTAAGATGTGTTCCGGACTATATGTTCTACGTGATGAAGTCTCATCCACTAGCATAAACCAGAAGTTCAATTTACTTTCTTTGAATAGTCAATCAGTTTTTTTGTCTAATAAAGATAGTGATATCATGTTATGGCACTATCGTCCTGGTCATCCAAATTTTGTGTATTTGTCAAAACTGTTTACTTCTTTATTCTTGAATAAAAATCCAAGTTCTTTTTGTTGTGAGACTTGTCAGTTTGCTAAACACACTCGGACTAGTCATTCTAGATTAACATATAAACCATCCAAACCGTTTTCAATGATTCATAGTGATGTGTGGGGACCTTCACGCATAAACACTATAACAGGAAAGAGATGGTTTGTATCTTTTATAGGGGTAGGGGAAAATACCAAAATTTCGGTATACCGGACTTACCAAATTGAAAAATACCGAATTTACCGAAATGGTTGGTATACCGACACTTTCGGTACAGTATGATACCGTACCGAATTACTTCGGTATGGTATCGGTATATATTTTGAAAATAAACGGTATACCGGTATACCGTCATACCGTAATTCCAAGCCAATAATTTCTTTAAAATTTTAAAAATAACTAGAAACACAACATTAATTCAAGGATAAATGACTTTATATCCACGTTTCTTGAATTATTTATACTTTTTGTTGTCAAGCGGTGTTTTTTTTAATTATATTTATGTTGTTTAAATTATTTTAGCAGAATGTGATGTTATCTTCATATATTATGTGTCGAAATATCTAAATATATTTATAATATTTTTTGTTCAAAGTTGAATAGAACACCAATAGGTTATCATTGGTAATTTACAATTAATTTCATTAATGATTTTAGTATATCATTATTAACACATATTTTCTATATTTTGTTATGTTAAATCATGATAATTTACCGATACCGTACCTTACCGTACCGAAATTTTGGTATACTTAAACAAGGTATACCGAAATTTCGGTATGGTAACAGTATGTATTTTTGCATACCGAAAATTTACGGTATGGTAAAGGTATGAGCTAAAATATTCGGTATACCGTACCGAACCACCCCTAATCTTTTATAGACGATCATACAAGATTAACTTGGGTTTTTCTTATGCAAAATAAGTCAGAAGTGAGTGAAATTTTTCAGCGCTTCCATTCTATGATTCAAACTTAGTTTCACACTACGATTCAAGTAATCAAAACTGACAGTGCCAAAGAATTTATTAATTCTATTCTTGGTACCTATTTGGTAGAACATGGCATCATCCATTTAAGTTCTTGTATTGACACCCTCAACAAAACGGAATCGCTGAACGAAAAAATCGACATCTTCTCTATGTTTCACGAAAACGCGAAAATCACGAGGAAACGAAAAACAGGAAACATCAACTTTTGCTCAAAAAAGGCTTATTTAGAGAGTTTCCGAACAGTTTCCGGGAGTTTCCGAAACCGGAAACGTACTCTTTCCCTAGAGTTTCCGTGCTACATAGCATCTTCTTGAAGTAGCTCGATCTCTCATGTTTGGGACTCATGTTCCTAAAGTTTTCTGAGGGGATGCAGTTCTCACCGCTGCCTATCTCATTAATCGGATGCCATCTAAAGTGCTGAAATTTAAAACTCTGTGTCAAACTCTTTTGGAAAGATTCCCTCATACAAGGTTCATTAGCTTTGTTGATCCTAAGGTCTTTGGTTGCACTGTTTTTGTCCATATTCATTCACAACATCGTAGTAAGTTAGATCCTAAATCTATCAAATGCATCTTCATAGGTTATTCATCTAATCAAAAGGGTTATAAGTGTTAATGTCCTACTACACGAAAAACCTATAACTCTATGGATGTCACCTTTTTCGAATCTCAAGCTTACTACAAATCTGAGATTCAGGGGGAGAATGCAAGTGAATCTCACCTTTGGGGAATAACTATTCCAAACAGTCATACTCCTATAAAGGAAATCTCATCTATTGCACCTTCTCTTGAACTCACCGGTCCACAACCTATGAACCCAGTCCACGAATGTCAAGATGTCATAAAAAATCAAGTTCCATTTAATTCATCTAGTTCATCTCAAGGCACTGAAAACACGTCTGAATCGTTACCTATCGTTAATTCTCATCCTGAACCGAAAGAACTTCGTGTTTATCAAAGAAGGGAGAACCCTGACAAAGAACAGACACATCTACAGGACTTCCATGAATTGGAACTGGATTCACATCCTCCAGAAATGCATTCGGGTATTAGTAATCCTTGTCATGATAGTGTTACTGATATAAATGATGATCTGCCTATTGCTTTGAGAAAGGGAGTTCGTGCTTGCACTAAACATCCCATTGGCAATTTTGTGTCCTATTAAACATTATCTCCGTCCTATCAAGCATTTGTTTCAGCTCTTGATAGTGTACAGATTCCCCACACAATTTAAGAAGCACTGATTGATACGGGTTGGAAAAAGGCTGTACAAGATGAAATCAATGCTTTGGTGAAGAATGGAACTTGGCACATAACATATTTACCATCTAGAAAGAGACCGGTGGGATGCAAGTGGGTATTCACCATTAAACATAAGGTAGATGGTAGCATTGAGAGGTTTAAAGCTCGCCTTGTTGCTAAGGGGTTTATTCAGTCTTACGGGATTGATTATCAAAAGACTTTTGCTCCGGTTGCTAAACTTAATACTATTCGTGTTCTACTTTCCGTTGCTGCAAATAGAGACTGACCATTGCACCAACTAGATGTGAAGAATGCTTTCTTGAATGGTGACCTGGAAGAAGCAGTGTACATGGATATTCCACCAAGCTTTGAGTGTTCATCCAACAAAAATACAGTATGCAGATCACACGTTGTTTGGAAAGTTTACTAAATCAGTCATTAAAAATGGCTATATTCGGTGTCAGGCATATCACACGTTGTTTGTGAAACACTCACAAGATAAAAGGATAGCTGTCCTAATAGTTTATGTTGATGATATAATACTTACAGGAGATTTCAAGGAAGAGCTGGAAAACTTAAAAAGTTTTTTATCAAAGGAATTTGAGATTAAAGATCTCGGTTATCTTAGATATTTCCTAGGCATGGAAATTGCACGATCAAGGCGTGGTATTTTTGTTTCTCAAAGAAAGTATGTTCTAGACTTACTCAAGTAAACAGGGATGCTTAGGTGTAAACCATCCTCAATTCCAATGGATTCTAACAGAAAGATTGGCTCAAAGACAGGTAGAGCACATGTGAATAGGGGGAGATATCAAAGGCTTGTTGGATGGCTTATTTATTTATCCCATACTAGACCTGATATTGGTTTCCCTGTAAGTGTGGTGAGTCAATACATGAATAATCCAACTGAGGAACACATGGAAGCTGTTATAAGAATCCTTAGATACCTCAAAATGACTCCAGGAAAATGTCTTCTTTTTAGGAAGAATGACAATAAAGAAATTAGAGTCTACACGGACGCAGATTGGGCAGGAGATGTAACTGATAGAAGGAGTACTTTTGGTAATTGTTCTTATGTTTAGGAAAATTTAGTAACATGGAGAAGTAAGAAACAATCAGTTGTTTCAAGAAGTTCGACTGAAGCAGAATTAAGAGCGCTGGCTCTTGGCATATGTGAAGGAATGTGGGTGAAAAGATTACTTGGCGAGCTGGGGGTATTTAATGAAGGTTCTATACAAATGTTTTGTGACACTTGAGATTTAATATAAATGGATTAATAGTACTACTCATACCAACAAGATGAATCTCCTTTTAAGGGATCTCATCACCCAATAACTCCAAAGTTAAGCGTGTTTGCACGGGAGTAGTCTTGGAATGGGTGACCCCCTGGGAAGTTTCTCAGGGCGCGCATGAGTGAGGAAAAAGCGCGCGGTAATGGCTAGTGTCGGTTTGTGAGGACAGTACTAGAGGTCTAGAGTAACTACCTCGGGTCTTGCGGGGCCGGGGTGTTACAGGTGGTATCAGAGCAACCCTGCGACAGTGTGTTGATCCGTTCGATATCAGGCGGGCACTTAGCGGGGCAAGATTCTGAGGTTTGATTGAGATTGGTTTAAGGGTGCAATGAAGATGTTGTGATCCTAAGTGGGGGTGATTGTAACACTTGAGATTTAATATAAATGGATTAATGAGACCTCACAAATATTCAGAATTTCACAAAGAAAGCTTTCCAGTTACTAGCATCAATTGCTTCTCTTATCGTTTTTGCTCCCAAATACTTCTTCATATTAAGAAGAATTCAAGCCTTTAAAAATAACAAATTGTTAAGATCAAGTCGTCTGTATTACAAATACTTAGCTGCTATTTTAATTCTTTAGTTAGTTAGTTTGGTATTATAACTGATTAGAGTGCCATGTCATCATTTTACCAACTAACTAGCTAAACTTGATCTGTGTAAATAAATAAGCAAACTGTATCCGATGAAGGGCAGCTAATGAATAAACCGATTCTTGTTCTTTTCTTCTCTTTACTCTGCAATTATCCTCTCAAACACTTTCATTAGTGTTCTTGTTATGAACCTTCATCCTTCTCATTGAAGTTCATAACAATTGGTATCAGAGATCCAGAAAAAGATTTCACCGATGGCGAAGCAAAGTAACACCGACCGCATCACTCAATTGGAAACGGAGCTGGCAAGTGTGAGGGCAGAAATTGAAAAAATGAACGAAACACAGAAAGCTGACCTAGCCAGGTTGATGGAAACACACGAGAAAAGATTCGAAGATATATTAGCAGCAGTTAAAGGTATCAACAACAATTCTTCTCCTTTTACTCATGTTGATCGTTTCATTCGAAATCCAGATCAAGGTTTAATCTCTACACCTGGTAGTCATAGAGGAGTTAAACTTGATTTTCCTCATTTTGATGGAGCTAATGCTAAAGGATGGATTCGAAAATGTCAGCGTTATTTTCTGATTCATCAAATGTCTGATTTCGATAAAATAGCATTAGTCGGAATGTATGTGGAAGGGAAAGTGGGGGTCTGATACATGGATGAAGTTGTTGACAGAGAATCCATGGGCTGGGATGTGTTCGTAACTATCTTTCTGGAAAACTTTTCGAAAGAAAATGATATTATTGGAGAGTTTAATAAATTGAGACAGAAAGGATTGGTTGAAGAATACATAGACAAGTTTTCTGAGCTTAAATCTTTCATGCTACAGAGAAATAAACACCTTGATGAGTACTATTTTCTGAAAAGTTTTCTCAGTAGGTTAAAAGAAGAAATCAGGCATATGGTAAAGATTGTTTCACCTGAAACTTTAGCTCAAGCTTTTCTGGTTGCCAAGAAACAAGAAGCGTTATTAGATGCTGTGGGAAGAACTGGGAAAACACAGTTAAAAAACTATGGTGCAAGAACAGGATATGAAAACAAGGAAGTTATATCCATAGGAAAAACTATGCCTATGAAACGTCTAAGCAAACAAGAGCTAGATGCAAGAAGGAAAAAGGACTATGTTTCAATTGTGATGAAGTATATACACTGGGACATAAGTGAAAGAAGATATTTGTGATACTGTTAGCTGAAGAGAACAAGAACTCCAATGAACCAATAAATAATTGAGACAATGATGAGGAGAGAGATTTTGGAGGATCTTTACATGCCCTAAAAGGACACTTACCCACTGAGACCATCAAGTTAATGGGGAATGGAAAAAAAAACCAATTGACTATACTAGTGGATTCTGGAAGCACACACAACTTCATAGATCTAGGAGCAGTTAAGAAGATTAATTGTGATATTGAATTAACTAATCCTTTATAAGGCACTGTGGCAGGAGGGGGAAGAATAGAATGCAACTCTAAATGCCCAAATTTGGAATGGGAGATGGCTGGGCATATCTTTTCAGCCAGTGTGAGAGTACTGCCTCTAGGAGGCTATGATCATGAAGGGGAAAAGGTGATAGTACAGGGTATACAATCAGAAATTTCTATCAAAATGATATCTGGGAGGAAAACGAATAAGATGCTGAACAAAAGAAATGGTATTGTATCCAAATATCTATGTATGGTGACTACTGTAAAAGAAGAATCAAAGAGTTCTACGGAGGGGGAGTTAGAATAGATATTGAATGAGTTCGAAGAGGTTTTTGAGGAACCAAAAGAGTTGCCACCTTCAAGAAACTGTGAACATAAGATTGATATTAAGTCAGGAGAAAACCCATTCAAGCAAGCTCCATACTGATACCCATACCTGCAGAGACAAGAGATAGAGAAACTGGTTAAAGAAATGCTAAAATCTGGAGTTATACAGCACACTTAAAGCCCCTACTCAAGTCATGTACTACTGGTTAAGAAGAAAAATGGATCTTGGAGATTTTGTGTAGATTACAGGAAGCTAAATTCAGTCACTATTAAGAATAATTACCCTATTCCTCTAATAGATGACTTATTGGATGAATTACACGGGGCAACAATTTTTTCAAAAATAGACCTAAGAGCTGGATATCATCAAGTTAGGATGAAATCTGATGAAATTGAGAAGATTACCTTCACAACTGCAAGTGGACTCTATGAATTCACTGTTATGCCTTTTGGGCTAACAAATGCTCCTGCTACATTCCAAACTCTTATGAATAATGTATTCAATGATTACTTGAGGCAGTTTGTGTTTGTCTTTTTTTATGACATTCTCATATATAGCCCAGATCAGGAAACTCATAAAGCACATTCGAGGAAAGTGCACCTATCACTACAACAACACAAACTATATGCCAAGAGGTCCAAATGCATCTTTGGAGTTCCACAAGTAGAGTACTTGGGTCATGTTATCAGTGCAAAAGGTGTGGCTGTGGATTCTAACAAAATTAAAAGTATTATGGAGTGGCCAATTCCTACTTTACTAAGAACATTAAGGGGGTTTCTAGGCATGATTGGGTATTTCAAGAAGTTTTGCTCAAGATATGGAGTTATAGCTAAACCTTTAACTGACTTAACAAAGAAAGGTATGTTCAAGTGGAGTGAAGAGGCTTAACAAGCATTTGAGGGGCTCAAGGAAGCAATGTGCACAGTACCTATACTACAACTACCAGATTTCAACAGAATTTTCATAGTAGAGACTGATGCTTGCTATAATGGACTTGGAGCTGTTCTGATGCAAGAACGCCACCCTCTGGCCTATATTAGCAAAGCTCCGGGACCAAAGAATATGGGATTATCCATATATGAGAAAGAGTTTCTTGCTATACTTCTAGCCATTGAAAAATTGAGAGCTTACTTGTTACATGCTCCTTTCATTATTCGGATAGATCAAATCAGCCTCAAATACCTTGTTGACCAGATAATTTCTACTCCTATCGAGCATAAATATCTTACCAAACTTCTGGGCTTTGATTACAAGATTGAGTACAAAAAAGGTCCAGAAAATAAGGTAGCAGATGCCTTATCAAGGAGGAACCAACAAGATGATAAAGTAGCAGAAAATTGTTATGTTATATCTGTAGTCAAACCAATTTGGCAAGAAGAGTTGATTCAGAGCTATGTAGGAGATGTTGAGGCTGAAGAAGCTAGTTTACAGTTGGTAACTACCCCCTATAATATGAGTTATTTTTCTTATCACGATGGAGTATTGAGGCACAAGAATAAACTATATGTAGGGATAAATGGGGATTTAAGGGACAAATTAGTCTCTATGATACATGGAAGTGCTGCTGGTGGACATTCTGGAGAACTAGCTACCCTACATAGGGTGAGAAATCTGTTTTGGTGGCCCAATTTGAAGTTGACAGTACATAGAGTGGTGAGTACGTGTCACATCTTCCAGTTGTGCAAGCATGAAACCATCAAATATCCCGGGTCGTTGCAGCCCTTATCAATACCACAGCATGCTTGGCAGCATATTACTATGGATTTCATTGAAAAGTTACCCAAGTCTAATGGATATGATTCCATATTTGTAATAGTTGACAGATATACTAGGTTTGCTCACTTTGTTCCCCTCAAACACCCATTTACTGCAGCAACTGTGGCCTCAGCATTCTTGGATAACATTTGCAAATTTCATGGAATACCTAAATCTATCATATCTGATAGGGACAAGATATTCACTAGTTTGTTCTGGAAGGAACTGTTCAAGTCTTTGGGGGTACAACATCACCTCAGTACAGCTTACCACCCACAAACAGATGGGCAAACTGAAAGGGTAAATCAGTTCTTGGAAAGTTATTTGAGGTGTATCAGTGGGAAGATTCATAAAGATTGGAGTAAATGGCTCTGTTTGGCTCAGTGGTGGTATAACAGTTGCTATCACACAACTATGGGAATGAGTCATTTTTAAACTTTGTTTGGTTATAAACCTCCTACACTAAATACAGGGCCCTATGGAGAATAATCTGTGGTAGGAGTGGAGCATGAACTTGAACAGAGGCAACTAATTTCTCAGAAATTAAAGCAGCAACCAACCATCTCCAAACAAAGGATGAAAGAGCTGGCTGATAAACACAGAAGTGAGAGGGAATTGACAGTAGGAGATTAGATATATCTTAAGCTTCAACCTTACAGACAATGGAGTATGAGGAGGTCAACTCTATGGAAATTGAGTCATAAATTTTGTGGACCTTTTCCACTTGTTGAAAAGGTGGGACCTGTAGCGTATAGATTAGATTTACCCAAAGATAGTAAGATACATCCTGTTTTTCATGTATCTTTACTTAAAAAACAAGTGGGACTGGCTGATAGAACTACTCCTACTATACCTCCAATGACTAAAGAAGGAAATACATTGTCGGTACCATCTGAAATATTGGCTAGAAGGATAGTCAAGAGGAACAATGCAGCTGTTGTACAACTCTTAATCAAATGGGAGCACTTACAGCCAGATGAAGCAACATGGGAGGATTATAATGTGATAAAGAAACAATTTCCTGGAATTGAAGCTTGTGGACAAGCTTCAAATGAAGGAGAGGGAAATGCTAAGATCAAGTCGTCTGTATTACAAATATTTAGCTGCTATTTTAATTCTTTAGTTAGTTAGTCTGGTATTATAACTGATTAGAGTGCCATGTCATCATTTTACTAACTAACTAGCTAAACTTGATCTGTGTAAATAAATAAGCAAACTGTATCCAATGGAGGGCAGCTAATGAATAAACCAATTCTTGTTCTTTTCTTCTCTTTACTCTGCAATTATCCTCTCAAACACTTTCATTAGCGTTCTTGTTATGAACCTTCATCCTTCTCATTGAAGTTCATAACACAAACCTATACCGATTCCATTGCTATTTTGATTTGCATTGTTACACACACGACATCACCCGTGGTTTGACGTACGACATGTACCTATTTAGTTGCTTTGATCTGCCAAGGCTTTGCTCATCGGAGTCTGGGTGATTGCACATGAATGTTCCATCTATTTTTAGATGTTCAAGATACGTTTCTATAATTTATTTCATCTTTTTTATTTTATTTTTATTTTTATAGACAATTCAGCAATTAATTTAGGCCTCACCAAAGGGGCTCTAAGCCTCTAAATTGTGTGAGTAATTTGGGGCTGAGTAATTTGACTTGGTATATTTTTACTAATAACTCCATTTATTGAACAAAATATCCTCATACTAATTAAATTATTAATACATGAAAAAATGTTAAAATAATTATTACTTGTTTTCATTAATTTTTATTTTTTAATCATAAAATAATTTTTAGGTAATTTTACTTATAATATTAACAAAAAAATTAAATGGTATCCTTAAAAGTAATTTAATAAGTTATTAGCCGATTATAAACAACCGTTTTAGCAAAAACTGTTTTATAAACAGCTAACACTATCAGCTAATCAAAACGGCCAACAGAATCAGCTGTCACTAATCAGCCAACAGAATTAACCAACAGCTAACAGCCAACAACCAACAGCCAACAGCCAACAGCCAATTGTCAAACATCCCCTATGATTCTATCACTAAATTTTGGTTATTGCAATTAAGTTCGTCAATTAAAATTGAGGATCTATTCTAGATAAAAATATGGCAATTTCGTATGATGTCTAGAATAAGTCACGTATGAATCAAACCCGATTTGTAGAGCAATAAACGGGTCCTTCCTCCAAAATTTGGCTAAAGGGTCAAATAGGCCTCTGTACCGGTCGTGTAAACTCAATTCAGTCCTTGGACTAAAAAAAGATCCAATTTGCACCCCGAACCGACAAAAAATGGTCAAATTTCATTTTTTTACGGGTAAGCAACTGGTCATTTTTTTTAATTTTTTTGTTGTTTTCTGTTTTTTATTTTCAATTTATTGCAATTTTGGCACTTTTTAATAGTTTAAGGGTGTGAATCGGACCTTTTCTACCGGTTGTTTACCTGTAAAAAATGAAATTTGAACCCCTTTTTTGTCGGTTCAGGGTGCAAATTGGACCTTTTTTAGCTCAGAAAGTTAATTGAGCTTACATGACCGATACAGGGGCCTATTTGACCCTTTAGCCTCCAAAATTTTGCAACTTGAAATCCAGAATAAGGACGTTTTTATTTGGACTGAAGTTTGCTGGTTTGGTCTGATCTAATCTGTTTAAGTCTGGTCTGTATTTGTCTAATCTAGTCTGATAAATGTCTGGTTTCTATCTATTTTATAATTATGAAAGTGTTTTGTTTAAGTGTGATCTGGGACTGAAAACAGTCCAAGTGAAAACATTGCAATTGTATCGTCATTCCGGAGGCTTCTGCCCTCTTTTTCGCAGAAGAATGTCCATACTTTTTTTGTACATAGGCTTCCAATTTCTTTTGCCTCTTTGAACCATGTTTAAGTTTTAGAATTGGCGAACAAACTGAGGAGGCCCTCAAATTCTATTTGAGGCCCCCTTTTAACTATCCACAACCCCAATTCTAAATGGAAGTAATTTTTTTTATAAAATAAAAAAGGTAGATTCTATGGTACCCATAAGGTACCATACTTTTGTCCACATGAACCAATGGAAATGTAGCAGTTGAATTATTTAAATCTAAATTAAAAATAATAAAGTGATGTGGTCTAATCAAATGAATGGTAGGCACGGTTGTTAAGATCCGGGGTTCCATCCTAAAAGGTCAACCTGTTAGGAGGAGTAGCCTGAAGCTTAATATAGCACTCTAATGTTTCTCAATTTTCCGGTGTGGGACATTTAACACCCCTCCTCACGACCAGACACTTCGTCTGGATCGTGCAATCATTCATTTTTTTTTCATCGGTCCGTTTTTTTTTTTCATCCGGCCATTTTTATAATCGTGTCATCACGATTCATAAGGGGCCCCACACCATGGATCGATTTGGCTCTGATACCATGTTAAGATCCGGGGTTCCATCCTAAAAGGTTGACCTTTTAGGATGGAATCCCGGATCTTAACATACCCCATTTTTTAGAAGGGTACCGGAGTTGTCACCAATAAAAAAGCACACCACTGACGGTATAACTTGCGTGGCAAAACCCAAAAAAATGAGTGTTTGTCCCTTTATCAACAATCAAACTAACAATATATGATAGGATAGATACAGTAGATAAGAAACGATGATCCGATTCAATACCAAACAATGATCTCGAAATGTACAGAACAGGGTATCGAGAAAGGAACTCGGCTCTCTCTCTTACTATGCGCTAATGTGCGTGAATATTCTGTAAAAGGCTTACTGCACATTCCCTTAAAGGCAATATTTATATGCCTAGGGAATGTGTGATGTGACATAAGCATGATTGGGCTCTTTTATTGATTGGGCCCAATAACACACTTTACACATTTCCTAATAAAGCTAATCTAATAATAGCTAACAAAGATCCTAATGGGATAAAATACCTAGACAAAATAGCTACACAAATACAAAAATATTTATCAGGATGGGACACCATAAATTTTCCTCAACAATGAGAGAAGAGGGCGATAGCCGCGTTGGAGACGCTCTTGTTTTTCTAGACTAGTCTTATTGGGAAAAAAAATTCCCATGAAACTGCTTATTGGGAATTCGTTTCGGCGAAAGTGCTTATGTTTATGTTGGGTTTCAATGAAATCGAAGTCATCCCCTTTAGGAAAAATTCTTTGTTCTTATATACACCTCTGTGTCTGTGTGATGTTTTTTGTATGTGAATCCCATTTCATAGACAAAACCGGCTTGTTTCGTCTGTGGAAAATTCTATTGACAAAACAAGCCAATTTTTAAGAACGTATATAAAAGGAATTTTTGCCTTAGAATCCTAGTGCGATTCAAACATAGTCTGACAGTTGCATAAATTCGATGTGACTACAACTCTGGGATTAAGGAGATTATGGCGGATAGACAGTGGCATAAATAGGAACTCCAGAGGGATTGGGGTAAAGTAGGAGAAAGTAATAGATATGCCCCTCTACTATAAGCTTTGGAACACATATGCCCTTAAAAATAACTATCCGTTAAAAATCTTTCCGTCAAAATCTCAAAAAGCTATAGTAGTCAACATTCCTCAATAATTAAGAACACTACACAAGCGTATAAAACATACGTACGGAGTATTTATATTAAGCCCTCCGGTCCATTTTACTTGTCTTGCTTTCCTTTTGAGATATTCCAAAATAAGTGTTACCTTTCCCTTTTAGGAAAGAAATATGTGGTCCACAACATTTCACTTTATTATACTCAAATCTCAACCACAACTTTTACCTTTTCAACCACTTTTTTAATAATTGTGCCAAAGTGGAAGGACACATAAAAGGGACGAAAATAGTACTACAATTTACATTGTGTTGGTTTTAAGTTTTGTCTAATATGCATTTACATCAAATTGATAACTATGAAATATAAATTCCCTAAATATGAGTAAAAGATAGCAACTTTTCTCAAATTTATGTAATTTTTTATTCTTTTAAAAGTACCAAATAAGTCCTACTTTGAAAAAAAAAAGCATAAGTTCTATTCTAAAACTTTCTTAGAGCATCTTCAATGGTTCCTTTTGAAAACTTGCTTGCAATTTTAAAGTTAATAGCTTATTATTGGAGCATTGATTTCCTTTTTGTTTGAGAAAGCTAATTAGACAAAATGAGCCACTAGTTTGAGTGAAGAGAATTACTAAATATAACACTATTATTCATAAATGAAGAGTAAGATGTTATAGCTAACCACTGGAGTATATTCTAATTTTGCTGCAAATGCTTATGTGGCTAGTTAAGCTATGATGACAATTAGCTAACTGCTGGAGATGCTCTTATTATATTTTACTCATGTTTCGAGCAATTACTAGATTTGAATTTGGATTCTACATCTAATATTTATCTCTTCTAAAAATATGATCACACCTCATCCCTGGGTGGGGTGGGGTGGGGTGGGGGGAACCAACCAGACATTTATCTGGGAGGATGTAAGCTGAGCTTTGATCATACTCTAATGGAGTGGGACTCCATCCCAGCCAAGTTATTGTTTGGAGTTGAATCCAGGACCTCTCCCTTGTCGCACTCTCTTCATACCAGGTGAGTCATGTCCCCGGTATATTTTTATTTTCTCATTTCTATTTAGAGATGGCAATGAGCGGATCAGAGACGGTTATACATATAATTGTACCCGCCCCGTTAAGTGTTTTCAATTCCACGCCTCGTAACCGCCCATTACCCAATAGATAATTTTTTATTCAAATCATAACTACCCCAACGGGTAACGGGTATAACCGCGGGTAACCGCTTTATTTAATGAGTTATTGATATTTTAAAAGACGAAAAAATGGCATCATCTAAACGACTCTAGACATCACTTAAAAATTTCATATATCTACAAGACGAGATAGAAGCCAACTTATATATATCCCCATCCATCAAATCGCAAGATGAGCTTTTATTATTACATAAAACCACCAGAAACTCAACTTTCATAGAAACAAATACACGAACATACCATATTTTTCATCCCCGTGTGATATAGGAGCATAAAAACAAGGTTTTCGAAAACTATTGAATGAGAGTATTCAAACCTGCCCTTACTCTTGATTGGAAGCAGTAATGACATTATGTTGCTAAAGTTTCAATGACATTATTTTTTATAAATACCAAAGGATCGAAGTCAGGGATACAATAGTCCATAGGGTCCTTATAGAGTCATAGACAATGGCAGTTCAATCAACGTGATGTACTTGGACACATATCTAGAGATTGGCCTCCTAAAGGAAGCCCTGAAACCGGTGAAGACCCCTCTCTCGGGCTTCACCAGTGACGTGATCGAGCCGGAAGGGGGTGATTACTGTCACGGTTCAGCTCGAATCAGAGCCGTGTGTGCAGATAATGGAAGCAGATTTGGTGGTGGTGCGTTTGCCAAGCGTTCACAAAGCCATACTGGGTCGACCTCTATTGGAGGACCTGGGAACAATCATCTCCAAGGATCATCTTTGCATGAAATTTTACACACCGGTCGGGATAGGCACGGTAAGAGGAGACCAGAAGATGGCAAAGAGCTGCTACATAAGGGATTGCAAAGCCCATGAAAGGAATGATGTTAGAGTCAATATGAGTAAGGACAGTTGAGAGCTCAGTCCATCTCAGAGCTCAAGGAGGTCGGCGTCGATCCAACCTGGCCAGAACGCCGGATTAAAATGAGAGCGAGAATGTCGGCTGATCTGAGAGTGAAAATAGTCCAGGTCCTTATGGATTTCAAGGTGATCTTCGCCTGGGGACCCGAGGACATGCCTGGGCTCGACTAGAGCATAGTTGTGCATCGACTTAATGTGGATCCCAAGGCAACTCCCGTGAAGCAAAAGCGAAGATAAACATCTTTGGACATGAAGGAGTTCGTGAAAGTTGAAGTAAGCATATTGTTAGGTATCAGGCACATCCGGGAAGTGTAATATCCGGAATGGCTGACCAACGTAGTGTTGGCGCTTAAACCACCGATCTGGAGGAAGTGCGTAGATTATACTGACCTAAACAACATATGTCCCATGGACCTTTTTCCTTTGTCGAGCATAGACCAGTTGGTAGATCAGACTGCTTGGTGTGAGCTCCTTTCATTCATGGATGCATTCAAAGGTTACCACCAAATCTCCATGCATCTTGACGACACTAAGAAAACCTCCTTCATCACCCCTGAGGGAGTATTCTGTAACCTGATAATGGTCTTTGGGTTGAGATATTCTGGAGCCACATACACGTGAATGGTTGCCAAGGTCTTCTGGGCCATGCTAGGAAGAAACATGGATGCATACGTAGATGATATGATTGTCAAGAGCCGTAAAGTAGGAAACCATGCAGACGGCCTTAAGGGGGTATTCAGGATCATGAAGAATGCCAACGTGGGGCTCAATCCTAAGAAATGCACCTTTGCAGTTCAGGGGATTAAACCCAACCTGGAAAAAGTCAAAGCAATTCTGGAACTGCAAAGGTTCTCCACGGTGCCGAGCTCAGGTACCCAGTCCTGGAGAAGACGACCCGGAAGTGTACGTAGCGGCCAAGAAACTTTCTCATTACTTCCAGGCTCACCCCATCAAGGTCTTGTCAGACCTGGGGGTGGGAAGTCTATTCAGAACAGCCAAAAAAACACGAGTGGTGAAGTGGTCCTTACTAATTAGCCAATACCAAGTAAGCTTCCAACCTAGAACATCAATCAAAGACCAGGCTTTAGCGGATTTTGGGGTGGAATGCACGGCGCGGGATGTAGCCGAAGAAAGACGCTGTGATGAAGAAGATTGGTGGACCCTTATGACTGATGGTTCATCATCAGGGTCCAAAGGTTGCGGAGGAGGGGTGGTCCTCATCACCCCCGAAGGTTTAAAGACATACCACGCCCTCAGGTACTTGTTTCCCCTGTCAAACAATGAGGCATAGTATGAGGCATTGCTCTCCGGCCTTAGAATATCAAACAATTTCAAAATACAGAAATTGGGGGTCAAAAGTGACTCTAAGCTGGTGATCAAACAGCTTAAAGGGGAATACGAAGCCAACGAAGAATGAATGCAAAAACAAAGGGATGCAGTCCTAGAGCTCATTAAACACTTTGATCAATCCGATCTGGTATGTCTCCTAGGAGCCCAAAATGAGGTGGCAGATATCTTTTCAAAATTAACAACGGATGCGTCTGAGCACCTCATTTGCATAGCTCGAATATAGGAGTTAAGCAAACAAAGCATTAAGGTGACAAAAGATCATGAGGTTCAGCCCATTAGGCCTTCACCAAGATGTTGGATTGATGACCTAATAGAGTATAAGGAAGGTGGAACACTACCATCAGATGAAGAGAAGGCAAGGGTGATTAGAAGATGAGCTCCGATCTACGTGATCCAGGACGGGAAGCTTTACAAAAGGAGTTATAATGGTGTGCTTTGGAAATGCCTAAGGCCAGAACAGACCCTACAAGTGGTAAAAGAGTTGCATGTTGGGATTTGTTCGTCACACCAAAGTGCGTTTACTTTAGGCAGAAAAGATATCTTATAAGGATATTTTTGGCCAACCATAATGAGGGAGTGTGCCGACTTCGCACGAAAATGTGAGGTCTGCCAGAAGTTCCAGATAAGTCCTGGGAGGCCTGCCACCCTCTACACCCCCGTAAGCACTGCAGTTCCCTTCTCAAGGTGAGGTATCGACCTCGTGGGGCCTCTTCCGAATGGCTCAAGAGGTCGGAAGTTTGTTATAGTCGCAATTGATTACTTCACTAAGTGGGTAGAGGCCGAGCCAATGGTCACAATCACTGCTCAGCAATGTAAGCAGTTTGTGTGGAGGAATATATTCTGCCGGTTTGGAGTCCCTATGCATATCATTACGGATAATGGAAAACAGTTCGATTCTGAGCCCTTCAAAGATTTTTGTGGGAATGAGGAGTTGAGGCCAGTAGAGCGTCTATTGCTTATCCCCAATGTAACAGACAGGTGGAGAATGAGAACAGAACAGTTGCGTATCGAACAACCCCACAGAAAGCCACTGGTGAGACCCCTTTCGCTTTGACTTATGGTTTTGAGGCTCGGGCACTGTTCAATGCAGAAATGAAGAATATGACCCTGAGAGCAATGAAGAAATGCTAAAAGCCGAGCTCCACCTAATTGAGGAAAGAAGGGATCGAGCATTCATCAGAGCCGAGAACTACAAGTGTCAAGTAAAAGAATACCATGGTATCAGAGCCACATCAAGATAATTTGACATTGGAGATTTGGTCCTAAGGAGGACATCTGTTTAAAAGCTCCTGGAAGGGGGGAATTTGCTAGGAATGAGGAAGGGCCCTATAAGATCAAAGGGATAGTTGGACCTGGGACTTACAAGTTGTGTACTCTTAATGGAAAGCTGGTAGACAGGGTTTAGAACTCTGAACACTTATTGAAGTTCTACATTTTTTAACCCGGTGGGTAAACTACCAAAATCGGTGGGGCTCTCCTGGGGGGCTTCAGGGTTCTTCCACAAATCGGGCAGCCCCCAGGTCTGGGCGGAGAAGGAGGGGTCTCTCTTCTGCAGAGCCTCATAGAGGGACTTTGATTTGTGTTTTCTCGCACTTAAAAAGATTGTAATAAAGTGGTGAAAGTACGAGTATCGTCTCCACAGGGACGGACAAAAGGGAATTAAAGATTAACTAAATTCAGCGATTAAAAATAAATAAAATAAAATGCAATTGTGCGAGATTGATTGATTGGGAAAATTAAACTAATGCTAATGAGCAATAAAATAAAAGATTGGTTTCTTCTCAATTAATGACGAAGGGAACAGGGATTGATTCCGGGGTAACTAGATTTGTGGCAAAACAGGCCTAATTACATGAATTTAATTTAATTGAGCCTAGCTAATCATTACTAAGTTCTTACCGCTCTCGCGACGTAGAGTACAATAATTTAGGGGACCAGGCTGATCTCTCATGCGACAAGATCCTAAATTATTGCCAAGACGAGCGAGCTTACAACCCCTTAATCGCTACTAATCTCTTAGCGAACGATTAAGTGTGTATGAATGTGTCCTAGAACAAATTAGATCTCTCTTATTTCATTTCTACATGCAATTGTAATTCTAGTCGCGATTCTAGGTTACAAAAGATATCAGTTAAATTATTCAAACACAAATTAAACGGCATTCATGCAATTAAACCAACAAGAATCTAGCCATCAATCATGATTAACCCCTTCATCAATCCCAAACCCCTAATTAAACTACTCACAATTCATAATTGAAGAATCAACAGAATTGGGATGAATAGAAATAATTATCATTAATAAAAAAGGTGAACTTACAAATAATCCCAGGGTCTTGGAAGAAAATAGCGTAAAAACGATGTTAATTTCATCCCTAGGCCTCTCCGTAATGTTCGTAACTCCAAAATAGGAGAAGGGAGACCTTATTTATAGAAAAAGATGAGTTTAGGTTGAATTAGGACTAAAAAGGGGTTAAGCACGGCGTGCCCAGGGGTCAGGCACGACCGTGCCTGCGGAGAAAGGCCGAAATTCGCGTTTCGGGTCCAGGCACGGCGTGTCTAATAGCCAGGCACGGCGTGTCTGGCCATTCCAGCAACCCGGTAC